TTGCTCAGTGTCTCATCACGGTGGCAAATTGGACCCTAACTTGTCTCACACATGATGCAGTCACTACGCTTGGGCAGTGCTGGGTGACAGGATAGTGTGTTTACCCTCTGGAAGGCGTAGTTACTCGTCTATGATCTCCCTCCTCGAACATTCGACGTGGGGCGGAGGGTTCTGAGCTGGAGCTGGAGTACTCCTGAGCGATGTAGGATGATTTCCAGCAGGTTTAGCTGTTACCTCTGATGTTTACTACAGTTTAGATTACTTGCCCAGCAGATACTACAGCTGGTTACAGGAATCTAACCGCGATGTAATCCTGGCCAAGAGGAAAGGGCAGGTGGTGAGTTTCCATCTCCTCCTCCATTCAATGGTGGAGTCCTGTAGCTCAGTGGTTAGAGTGTTCTCCTCACAAGCAAGAGGACCCGGGTTCGATTCCCGGTCGGGTCAGGGGGAAATCTTAGGTAAGTCTCCTTCCTCCACACACAAACACACACACGCCTGTTTACTTAGCTGTGAATAGGAACCTGCTTGTTAGACAATTGGTGGATCGCTTTTTGGGGTAATAATCCCTTTTTTAAAAAAAAAATTTGGTAACTCAATCCACGACTGTTTGTGTGATGTTGCTGTGCGCAATTGGCTGCTGCTTTTCAGCCCCAAAATACACAGTCACTACACTTTACAATATATGCTATGAAGCGCTTTGAGTTATTTCGACGACGTGAGAATGCGCTGTATGAAATACAAGGATTATTATTATTATAATGTTCTCACCTGTGGTGCAATTCTCGGCCACACGGTGACGATATTTCACTGAATCACTGTGCAGTGCAATGCATTTTACACACACTGAGCCAGGCTGACATACACACATACACACACACATACACACTGAGCCAGGCTGACATACACACATACACACACACATACACACTGAGCCAGGCTGACACACACATACACATATACACACACACATACACACTGAGCCAGGCTGACACACACATATACACACACACTGAGCCAGACATACATACACACTGAGCCAGGCTGACACACACACATGTACACACACACTGAGCCAGGCTGACACACATATACACACACACTGAGCCAGGCTGACACACATATACACACACACTGAGCCAGGCTGACACACATATACACACACAGCCAGGCTGACACACACACACATACACACTGAGGGAGGGTTGGGCTGATGAGGAGTTTGGTCTGAGGGAGGGTTGGGCTGATGAGGAGTTTGGTGTGAGGGAGGACGAGGACAGGGCAGGTTTGTATTAATTCTACAATAACTTTCAGCAGATCCTGAAACAGCAATGGATACACTGAGAGCCAGTGAACCCCATTACTGTCAGCCTCAGGCCCTCCAACCCACAGACGTCAGGAGAATCTTCCTGGAGCTGAGGGTGCTCCACACTGTGTTGCCGGGGAGGATGATTATCCAAGGCTGGGTCTCAGTCCAGCCCCTGTGGATGTGGACAAGTTACTGCAGCGAGGGTTGAGCTGGCTGGCGGACAGACTCCCCAGGGTCCTGAGCATAATGTCAATGCCTTACATGATCCCTCAAGGTAAAGATCACGTCTGCCTCTCGGTGGACATGTTTGGCACTGATATCTCACTGATCAAAAGCCATTTAATGTCCCAACTGCATTAAGCAAGTCTCTCCTCACATGGCACCATCTTCTGCTTTGTCTCCATTACATAACCCCCCCACCCCACCTTCTCCAAACCCAACGCTCTCTCTTCACACTCAACTCTCTCTCTCTCCACACTCACCTCTCTCTCCCTCCCTCTCTCCACACGCAACTTTCTGTCTCTCTCTCTCTCTGCCTCTACGCTTGATTCCAGGACCTCTGCTGTTCTGACAAATTGCCTGTTGGATATCAAGTCCTGGACAAAAGCTAACTTTCTCCAGTTGAATGTCGACAAGACCGAGGTCCTCCTGCTTGGCTCCCATCAACGACTCCACACCTCGGGTGCTGACAGCATCGATCTACAGCGATGCTCACTCTACCTCCCAGAGCCGGCGCAGAACCTCGGTGTCTTGTTCTCTTGCTCACTCCAGATTTCCATCATCCCCACAACATCGCTCACCTCCCCTTCCCCCCCACAACCCGGTCTTCCAGACCCTCACACTGGGGCAGTGTCTTGGAGCCCTTCACTTACATAACACACCGTAAACAAGAGGACATCGCACACAGTCTTCTCTGCAATCAAGAATCCACACGTACAAAATAGGCACTAAAATTTATTACACGTTGTATCAAATACTAGTTACAAAATGCATCAGGCAATATCACACAGCAAATATCAAACATCTTGTTTTTATCTTCATTCAGAATAAAAATGGCAATGACAAAAGCAAAGATTTACATGTAACTGTCCTTACATCTGACACAGAGCCTTTCACATCGGGAGGACGTCTCAAAGCGCTTCACAGGAATCACTGTAAAGTGTAGTGGCTCTGTGTTTTGTGGGTGAAGCGGCAGCCAATTTGCGCCCAGTGACGTCCCACAAACAGTCCAGAAGTCAGTGACTGATTGTATCTGGGGGATTGTCGCCCAGGATATCGGGAGAGAGAGAGAAACTCCTCTTTTCCAACAGCACTGCTAAAGGCCACGAAAAGGGAGTGAGGTTTAATGTCTCAACCGAAGGAAAGCATCTCCAACAATATAGTGTTTGCTCCCAGACCGACTGAACCAGGCTGACACGAATCTACAGCACAGAAGCAGCCATTCAGCCCCTCGTGTCTGGACTGGCTCCTTCCCCCCATTCCCCTGTCGCTCACTCCTGTTTAAGGTATTTATCTAATGCCCTACTCTAACCTCTGTATGTCTTCCCTACCCTAACCTCTGTGAGTATGACAACATTCCTCCTAACCTCCCGGTTTGTTAGTTTACTAACTATCTTACATTGCTGCTCTCTAGTCACCGACTTACCGACCAGTGAAGTAATGTCTCCCTAATTGACTAATCAAAACCCCTCAGTTTAAACTCTCCGTCAGGGTCACCTTTAACCTTATTTGTTGCAGCCGGAAAGGTCCCAGTTCTTCCCGTCTCCGCTCAGAGACCAACCCACTCCTCCCCGGTGTCACCCGAGTAAATCTCCTCTGCTCCCCTCTCTGGCCCTGAGGTTCCTCCGGAACATTACACTGCGTGTGGGGGGGCTATATAAATGCAAGTTGTTGTTGATCAACACTGGACTCGAGATTCTAACTTTGGGCCAATTAATAATTTATACGTAATCTGAGGCCTCAGTACTGTTGACTGCTCCTCTGTTTGGGGAGAGATTAACAACAACAACTTGCATTTATATAGCGCCCTTCACGCAGGGCAGGGTCCCTGACACTTGATCAGAGCCTTGTCCCTTGTCCATCATGTAAAGGCTCCAACCTGCGCTTGTCACACATCAAATGATCAACTTATGACAATAATAATCTTTACATTTGATATAGCACTGTATCACGTCTCAAAGACATCTCAGAGCGCTTCAAGGAACATACTGTAAAGTGTAGTGACTGATTGAGTGACCAGATTTTTTTGGAGGGATTATTACCCCCAGAAAAGCGATTCGCCAATCGGCTAACAAAGGGGTTCCTACTTTACTGCTGATAAACAGAGTGTGTGGAGTGAGGAAATTTGTGCAGTGTTTTACCCCCACAAGGAATCGAACCCAGGTCCTCTCACTTGCGAGATGAGTGCTCTAACCACTACACTGTGGGACTCCACACTGAGCTACAGGACTCACTGTTCTGCTGCAAGAGGGGGTGGCAGGGTGAGAAGTGAGGTCTCCTCGGAGCAGAGCTGCTGATTGGAAATGGAAGGTCAGATTGGAGGCCCCTGACCAGGGAACCCACTGTGTTCAAACATCAAATCATCAAACCAGGCAGCGTTTTCCGGCTCAGAGGAATCAGTTTGTGAGTAAACTATGGGTTACGCTGTGGGGTGTGGGGGTGGGGGGGTGAGGGTTCAGGATAAAGGCCAAGCTGTCCGGGTGCCATGCAGGAGCCAGGCCGCTAATTAGTGATCATCAAATGTCAGCCGCCCAACTCAAGTCGGCCTCCACACCTCATTACCCACCCGTGGAGTCGTCAACCTTTAAGCTATGAAGTGTCACTGGAACAGAGAGGGTTAGATTTGGCCACAGATTGTTCATGAAGGATGTGTCTGGGTGTGTTTCTCACCGACGAGCTCTGCCACCAAACAACAAGCACTGAAACACAGATTCTGCCATTTGTGAGTTGATATTGTGACTTGTTGTGAGCAAAAAAAAGCTGTAAAATAAAACATTTTTGGCCAAACCTTTGATAAAGTAGCTGCAGTGAGGACCCACTCCCATCGGACTGTCCATCAATCCTCCCCAAGCTCCCATTGCACCAACAATCTGTCCATCAGCCCCTGGGCGGGTCCAATGGGAGTCCGTCCTCACCAGCCATTAACAGTTGTGGAAACGATAAATAGTTGGGCTGTTTGTAAAGTTTTCCTCAACAAAATCAGCTGATGGTCTCACATCTTTAGTGATAGGCCTTCACCCCAATAATAGACCATTGACCCCCAGTGGTAGACCTTTCACTCCCCCCCCAATGATGTCCAATGTTTCCAAGTCACAGTCCATGTCCACGTCTTCACACCTTGTCTTCAGTCAGGACTGAAGGAGACAAATCGAACCTCCTGGTCACCCACTCTCCACCGGCTATGGGATTAACACAAACCCTTAGCGCCTCCCCTCCCCTTGTGTATCTGGCTGACGTCCTCACTAATAAAGGCCCGTCTTCCTTCGCTGCAACATTTATAAAGTGTTAAAGATCCTTGTCCGGCTTGCGGACGCCCGGTTGTAAACTTCCCACCGTCGTTCGCCCATCCGCTGGCTACTGAAGGTTCTGGATGTGCGTGTTACAGCCCGAGCCTCCGTGTCCACCTCAAGGCAAGTGTCAGGACTCAGGGTACACACTCCAGTGTGGAAGTGATCTTCACATCGGCCGTGAAGATTTACATCTCCTCGTCTTCGCTGGCCTTGCTCCAGCGGTGACAGTAATTGGCTGTTATCCCCAGGAGGAAGTTGGTTGCGACGGAGGCGATCGAGACTACGAAGCCGACAAACACGATGAACAGATAATCGTCCGTCGTCAGCGACAGACGACAGGCGCGGAAACTCTCGTCTGTCAGTGAGAAAAAACGGATTCCCTTGATTTCATTCGGCCCGGAACATTCCAGCTCCCCGGAATCTGTAACGATAACAAAGCTCTGGGTGTTAGCCTGTGGTGCAGCCGTTTGCTCTCTGTCCTCCGAGTCGGGAGGATGTGGATTCGAGCCCCAACCCCACCCCCCACCCCCCACCCCCACCACACACAGGGACTCTGAGCTCACAGTCCAGGCTGATGCTCCAGTGCAGCGCTGGGGAGAGAGAGAATGCTGGAGAGAGAGAGTGCTGGGGGGAGAGAGAGAGAGAGAGCGCTGGGGGAGAGAGAGACGCATTGTCCGAGATGCCATCCTTCAAGACATTGAACCTCCAACCCCGTCTCTGCCCTGGTCAGTCGGGTGGATGTGAAAGTTTCTGTTCAATAAGAGACGGGAGTTCTAGCTGACAATCCCCCAAATAAAATCATTCAGTCACTTTACGGCTGTTTGTGGGGACGTTTCTGTGTGTGAATCGGCTGTCTCGTTCGCCCACAAAACACACAGTCACTACACTTTACCGTAGATCCTGTGAAGCGCTATGAGGCGTCCTCCCAATGTGAAAGGCACTATCAAATCTAACGATTAATATAACAACAACTTGTGTTTACACAGTGCCCTTCACGTAGGAGATATGGAGGGGGAGAGAGAGGGGGAGGGGAGTGTAAGTGCGGTCCGCGAGGTAGGATTTATGTGCGTATATATTATCTTTACAATCATAAAGGTAGAGGCAGGCGGGGGAGCAGGTGCTCTGTGACAATCTGATTAGTTATGTGTCCTGGTCTGAGGGGGATTGTATTACATTAAGGCAGAAACACAGAGAGAAAGAGAGAGAAGCAGGTTCCCACCTACACATGGAAATTCCCAAGATGTTTATTGGAATGGAATGTTCTCTCTCTCTCTCCCCCTGGAGGGGCACCCAATTCCAGAGAGTATGAGGCGCAGATTGGTGAGGGGGAGGGGGGAGCCCAGATTGTGCTTTGGGGGCAACATTCCCGCAATCAGCCATGATGCTGATGAGTGATTGTATTTGGGGAACAGCACATCAGGGGAGAGAGAGAAACAGAAAGTCCCTTCTCTTCCCTCCCGACAGCTGTGAGTGCGGTTTTAACGTCTCCCACCGAAGGACGAGAACCATAAGTAACTTTTCTTACCGGAGTTACAGTTGTGCGGGTTGGTGAGAAGCCACTTCAGGAGCGGTTCCATGTTGCAGCCACAAAGCCAGGGGTTGCCCGCGAGCTGGAGCGAGATCAGGGCCGGGAGCTTCTTTACTGTCTCCAGGTCCAGGGAGGTCAGGCCATTGTAGCTGAGGTCCAGGTGCTGGAGCTGGGTCAAGCCGGACAGGGCCTGGGAGCTGATGACTGACAGGCCGGGGTTATGGCTCAGGACCAGGCGAGAGAGTTTCTCCACCGGCTGCAACAGCCCAGATGTCACCTGTGTCAGGTTGTTGTAACTCAGGTCCAAGACGGTGAGTTTCTTGAGAGGAAAGAAGAGTCCGAGTGGGAGGTCGGTGATGGAGTTGTTCCTCAGGCTCAGCACCAGGAGCTCCCGGTAGCAGCTGAAGTAACCGAGAGGCAGGACAGTCACTGTGTTGTGAGCCAGACTCAGGTTCCTGACATCCCCGGGGATGTCGGTGGGGGCTGTCAGCAAACCCCTGGAGCTACAGTCCACCCACTGCCCCAGACACGAGCAGGAAGCTGGGCAACCCCGGCCCAGCCTGAAGCCCAACAGCAGGAGAAGCAGCCAATACATGGCAGCCACCCAGACCCGGCTCGGGACTCGGCTTGGACACTCGCTCCCTCTCTCTCTCTCTCTCTCTCTCTCCCGGCTGACCGACACAGGCCACGGATTCCCCCAGTTTGGGTGTCTTTCGGGCACCGGGGGGCACGAACCCGCGAGAAAAGCACTGATATTAGTACAAGTTGTTGTTGTTGTTCTTTACTCCCCGGCTGGGGCGGGTTCTGTCGAGAGGAGAGAAAGAGAGAAAGAGACTCAACAAACATCAGCGGGGCACAAGGAAATGTCCTTTTAATGTTTTTTTAATGTAAAAATAAATACACGTCAAACGGAAATCAGCAGTTACGATTGACAATTCTTGTTTATTCCCCAAAAAAACTCACCTCGTGATAATGATTAATAACAACAACAACAACTTGGATTTATATAGTGCCCTCCACGCCGGACGGTGTCTTACATATTTAAGGGGCCGAGGGACTTGACCCTCGCAGGAGATCGGGGAATGTTTGGCTGAAACTGAAATAAGAGGCAGATTTTCTTCCCTTAATAAAAACCTATCCCGGTGTCTCGGTGCTTCCAGTGGCTGTGATTCCCCTCCTGCCCCTGTACCTGTCTGGCTTCCTCCCGAATCCAGGCTCCACTGTTCCCTGGAGATGATCGTTGTCTCCTGCAGATGCGGTGAAAGGAGGGAAAAGGCAGGAAAGGCGGGAGAGAGAAGAGACCAGAGATTTGTGGACTAAACTAAACTGTTCCTTTCTCTCCGCAGGGCCAAGAAGATCCAGTGACGTGGCTCTGTTGCCTAGCAACTGTCTCCGCATCCCAACTCCAACAGGAGAGGGACAGGAATCTGGACATTCCCAGTCTGGCTATTCATACACACACTCGGAGCTGGGACTGCCATTCACTGTGAGGCTTCCTCAGGTTCCCACTGTCAACTCCCCCGGCCTGGGGTAATCAGTGCGTGTGTGACTGTGTTCAGCCAGTGTGTGTTTATTTGTGTGTGAGACTGTGTTTAGCCAGTGTGTGTGTGACTGTGTTACAGAGCTCAGTGTGTGTGTGACTGTGTTTAGCCAGTGTGTGTGTGACTGTGTATTTAGTCAGTGTGTGTGTGTGTGTGTGACTGTGTATTTAGTCAATGTGTGTGTGTGACTGTGTATTTAGTCAGTGTGTGTGTGACTGTGTATTTAATCAGTGTGTGTGTGACACTGTGTATTTAATCAGTGTGTGTGTGTGACTGTGTATTTAGTCAGTGTGTGTGTGTGACTGTGTCTGTGCTAAACTGGACAGATTCATTTTACAGAGAGAGAAAAGGATCCCTTGTGTAACTAAACTGAGGTCATTCTGACCATCGGTTAGACAGACAGACATATAGCCAGACAGACACGGACAGACATTTAGCCAGACAGACAGATGTGGAATCACAGTCTAAGCTGACAGTATAATGCAGGGCTGGGGTGCGTAGTGTTGTTGGAGACGCCGGGGTCCCTTCTGCCTGTTCAGGCGGACGTTAAAGATCTCCCACAGCACTATTGGGGAAAAAAGAAGGTAGTTTCTCTCTCTCTCAGCGTCCTGGCCAACATTCCCCCAACAGCGCTTTCGAGATGTCCTCCTGACGTGTATCAAATACAAGGATTATTATTGTATTAATACCTATGACAGTGATTTATAATAATAATCCTGCCATTTGCCTTTGTAACTTTATCCTGTCAAAACATCTCTAACATTTCACAGGGTTTGTTTAAAGTGTAGCCCTAACAGGTAATGTGGTCCTAGTGGGGCTGAGGTAATGGGGGGACGGTGTTTAGTGGGGGTGATGGGGAGCCAGTGGAGGCTGGTGGGGGCTGGGGTGATGGGGTATGGGGTTTAGTGGGGGTGATGGGGAGCCAGTGAAGGCTGGTGGGGGCTGGGGAGATGGGGGGACGGGGTTTAGTGTGTGGTATGGACCCATGGAATGTGTGGGGGACGGGGTCACGGCTATTGTGACATAAACCAGATGTTGTTGGGCTGAGGTCCTGGTGACCTTTCACATGTTGCCTTCGGTGGCAATGCTGATACATGGCTGTGCTTTCTTGCTCCTTCTCCTCGAGAGAGTTCACACGGGTCTGTGTCCCCGTGTGTCTGTCTTTGTGTGTGTGTCTGTGTCCCGTGCGCATGTATGTATCTGTGTCTCCGTTTGTGTGCATCTGTGTGTGTACCTGCGTCCCGTGTGTGTGTCTGTGTTCCCTGTGTGTGTCCTTGTGTCCCCGTGTGTGCCTCTGTGTCGCCATATGCCTGTGTGTGTGTGTCCCTGTGTGTGTGGGGACATTGCTATTATTATTATTTTTATTATTATGTGCGATTGGCTGCCACGTTTTGCCCACAAAATACAGTCACTACACTTTACAGTGTATCCTGTGAAGCACTTTGAGACGTGTTGATTGTTATTACAGAGAGGATTGATGTCTTTATTCACAGTAATATTATTATATACAGCGGTTATTATTGTTGTTCATGTTATTGTTATTATTGTCACTGTTGATGTTGTTGTGATACACTTATTGTTATTATACAGAGCATTAATGTTATTGATGTTATTATTGATGTTATTGATGTTGTTATTGATATGGTTATTGATGTTATTATTGATGTTATTGATATGGTTATTGATGTAATTATTGATAGTTATTGATGTTGTCACTGCTATTACAGAGTGCGGGTATGGGCTGAGCTACCGGCGGAGACGGGAGTCGGTGCCCGTGGTCGGGGGGAGGGAGGCGGACGCGGGTGACTGGCCCTGGCAGGTCAGTCTGCAGAGGAGAAAGGCTCATTTCTGTGGCGGTTCCATCCTCAGCTCCTGGTGGGTCCTCACAGCGGCTCATTGTGTGGAGAGACTCAGGTCAGTGTGTGAGACAGGGGGAGAGGGAGGGGGGGGGAGAGGGAGACAGGGAAGGGGGGAAAGGGAGAGACAGGGGGAGTGGGAGGAGGGGAGAGGGAGACAGGGAGGGGGGGAGAGGGAGAGAGGGGGAGGGGGAGAGAGAGAGACAGACGGGGAGTGGGAGAGAGGAGTTGCTCAGCGCTGTTGTCGCTGTGTTTACTCAGTGCCCGACAGGTCACTGTGGAGACGGGAGAGCTGGAGCTCGGACACAGCGATGCTCTGTGTCACCGCGTGGAGCAGATCATCGCCCACGAGGACTACACCCCGAGGAACTTCGACAACGACGTGGCTTTGCTGAAGCTGCAGGAACCTCTGCAGTGGGACCATCGTCACATCCCGGTCTGTCTGCCTCTCAATCCCAACTTCAACATCAGCAGCTGGAAACAGTGTCTGATAGCGGGATGGGGGCACACCTCACACAGTGAGTGACATAGCCCCCTCCCCAACCCCGGCCCCCACCTCCAGCCCCAACCCCCTCCCCAACCCCGGCCCCCACCTCCAGCCCCCAACCCCAACCTCGGCCCCCTCCCCAACCCCGGCCCCCACCTCCAGCCCCCAACCCCAACCTCGGCCCCCTCCCCAACCTCGGCCCCCTCCCCAACCTCGGCCCCCTCCCCAACCCCGGCCCCCACCTCCAGCCCCAACCCCAACCTCGGCCCCCTCCCCAACCTCGGCCCCCTCCCCAACCCCCTCCCCAACCTCGGCCCCCTCCCCAACCCCCTCCCCAAACCCCAACCCCCTCCCCAAACCCCAACCCCAACCCCCTCCCCAAACCCGGACCCCTCCCCAACCCCAGCCCCCAACAGACGCAGTGACTCTTTCCCACTGTTCCACAGACAGTACGAAGCTGTCCTCGACACTGCAGGAAGTGGAAATGGCTCTGATCAGTTGGGATACGTGTAAGAAATGGCTTCCGTCCCTGACCCCCAACATGCTGTGTGCCGGGTACGAGGAGGGGCGGCGTGACACCTGCCAGGTAACACGTGTGACACAGGCATGACACAGGCATGATGTGCACAATATTACTTTCTACCCATGTAAGGCCCTCCTGTGTTACTCTTGCTAAGTTGTCACTGAACAACACGGGGTCTCTTCAGAGCTGAACTGGCCCCAAGGTGACATTTTGCAATGGAGTCAAAACCTTAGCTAACTAACGGGGAGGGGGGTCCCAGCTGGACAAGCAGTGGGAAAGCTTACTGTACAGTGATATCAATGGCAAGCTATGTGCAGTGTTAGCTGGTTAGACTCCAGCAGTTACCCCAACGCACACTCTGGGTTCCCCCCAAACCTTGGCTCTTGGTGCCTAATACTCTCTGGAATTAGGTAAGCAGGGAGAGAGAGAGAGCATCCCATTCCAACAATCTATCCCTGTGATTTCCATGTGTAGGTTGGATCCTCAGTTGGGTTTGGAGACTGTTTAAGCAGGTGATGGGTTTCCGGGTGTGTCAGATACACAGCTGACTCCTGAAATGTGTCTCTTCACAGAGTGACACAGGGAGGGAGGCAAGGAGGAGAGCTCCAGTGGGTTTGGGGTCAAGTTGCGGTTCCCATGTAACGGACGTGTTTGCGCGTCGGTTGCAGGGAGATAGCGGTGGCCCCCTGGTGTGTGAGAATACGGACAGTCACGTGTGGTTCCAGGTTGGGATCATGAGCTGGGGCCGAGGGTGTGCGGAGAGGAGAAGCCCCGGTGTCTACACTCTCATCTCAAACTATCTCGACTGGATCAGGGAGGTGACAGAGCAAGCCGACCGTCCGTTCATCCCAGAGGACATCTCACCTCCACCTGTATCCAGAGCACCTCAAGCATCTAATGTCTCACCTCCACCTCCAACTCCTCATGTCTCACCTCCACCTCCAACTCCACATGTCTCACCTCCACCTCCAACTCCTCATGTCTCACCTCCACCTCCAACTCCTCATGTCTCACCTCCACCTCCAACTCCTCATGTCTCACCTCCAACTCCTCATGTCTCACCTCCACCTCCAACTCCTCATATCTCACCTCCATCTCCAACTCCTCATGTCTCACCTCCACCTGTATCCATAGCACCTCATCGTGTCCCACCTCCACCTCCTAATATGATTCTGCTTAAGACCAGGAAGGCTAGACTTCAGTAAAGAAAAAATTCTCTCTCTAAATGTTCCTCTCTTTCTCTTTATTTCTCTCTATCTTTACCTGTGTTAGCCTGGCTCCGTTGCCAGGCCTCTTAACTCTGAGTCAGAAAGTTGTAGCTTCAAGTCAGGGCTTGGAGCTGATCGAGTCTATACCAACTCTGCAGCGCAATGCTGGGGGTGGGGGGGGGGGGGCGGGGGCTGCTTTGTCGGAGGAACCGGCGTTGGTTGAAATATTAAACCCCGTCTGTCCAGGCGAATATTAAAGATCCAGGGGCATTATTCAAAAAGAGAAGGGAGCTTCTCTATCCTGGCTTCAAATAAGTAATTCACTTGGTGGCTGTTTGTGGGACGCCATTATGCGCAAATAGGCTGCTGCATTCCCCACAAAACATACAGTCACTACACTTGACAGTATATCCTCTGAGATGTCTCACTGACGTGATAAGGTGCTGTATCAAATGCAAGATTTATTATTATCACTCTCTCTCTGTGCCTATGTGTGTATTTCTCTATGTCTCTCTGTCTCTCTGTTTCTCGCTCCAGCTCTCTGAGACAAAGCAAGAATCTTATTAATGTTTTACCAGCCTCTCCTGGCCCAACCGCAGCCCCCAAACCCCAGCCGGACCATCTTGTGTTTTAATGAAAAACCAGATCCAACCTTTCGTTAATAAATTAAACCAGATTCTTAATTCATCTCCTGACTTTATGTACCAGTCTGTCTCAGTCTCTCACCTCCGAGTCAGGAGGTTGTGCGTTCGAGCCCCTCACACATGGCAGGGATTCTGAGCTCACAGTCCAGGCTGACTCTCCAGGGCAGCATTGGGGGGAGAGAGAGAGAAAACCCGGGGGGGGAGAGCGAGAGAGAGAGCCCTGGGGGGAGAGAGAGAGAAAGCTGCATCGTCGGAAACACTGTCCTTTGGATGAGACATTAAACCTCACTCTCTCCCGGTCTGCCCCTGGTCAGGGTGGATAGTAAAGATCTCCCACAGCGCTGACAGGAAAACAACAACAACAACAAAATGACATGTAAAGGGCTTTTCACGTTGGGAGGACGTCCCAAGGCGCTGGAGAATCATTGTTTCGGACCCGAGCTGGGGGTCAGGATCGGGGTCGGGGAGGGTGGAAGGTGGCGGGTGGGGGGAAGCAGGGTGATAGAGGACATGGTCAAAGAGGAGGGTCTTGAGTCGGGTCTTGAAGGAGGCGGTGGAGAGGGTGAGGGAGGGGGCGAGGTGGAGGGACTGTGGGTTGGAGTTCCAGAGGGTGGTGGCAGAGTGGTGGAAGACTTGCTCGCCAATGGTGGGGTGAGCAGGTGGGGATGTGAAGCAGGCGGAGCCCGCTGAGCGGAGGGTACGGGCAGGATGGTAGGGGTTTAGGAGGTGGCAGAGGTCGGGGGGAACAAGAACATGGAGGGCTTTGAAGGTGAGGACCAGGATCTTGAACTGTGTGATGGGAAGCCAGTGGGGACGGGCGAGGATGGGGGTGGTGGGGTCACGGGGCCTGGTGGGTTGAGGACACGGGCTGCAGAGATAGTTCTGGATGATCTGCAGCCTATGGAGAGAGGAGTTGGGGGGCGACAAACAGGAAGTTTGCATAGTTGAGCCTGGATGTAATGAAGGCGTGTGTGGGGGTCTCGGGGCCTGCGATGTGAGACAGTTGTGGAGCCAGGCGAGGTTGCGGAGGTGGGGAAGGCAGAGTGGGACATGACGTGGATGTGGGGTAGAAAGGATAGTTGAGGGTCAGACCAGGTGCCAGACTGGCTTACAAGATGGAGTGTGCATGGACAAGCCTGAGGTGAGGAAGCACTGACGGGAACCAATCAGGAGAGCCTCGGTTTTGTTGACATTTAACTGTAAGAAAGTCAGCTCTCATCCAGGATCTGATGTCTGACAGAAATTGTCAGGGCAGCTGTTGCCCTGGAGTCGTGGGTGGAAGCAGAGAGATAGAGTTGGGTGTCACCAAGAGGGAGCGTGTGCAGGCTGAAGAGGAGAGGAACAAGGACAGAGCCCTGAGGAACGAGAAAGAAATTTCTCGCTCTCTCCTGGTGAGGTGGGTGGGGTTGGTGCAGGGAGCAGAGGGAAAGGGGAGAGAGGGGGAAGACATGTATGTGATCTTGACCAGAGGACAGTTGAACGAGAGGTTGAATATTACCCTGACCTGGTATCGCGAGCTGTTAACCATTAAACAATGTTATCAGAAGCCGACGAGGTTTTCTATTCTCACTTTTCAACCAAAGTCGTTGCCAGGCAATTAAGCAGCGGGAAATGGATAAGAGAATCCAGCCAGCAAACAAGGTCACATCTGATCTCCTCCAGACCACCCCCACCCACCTCTGCACGGACTCCCCTCCCCCCCTCCCCTGATTCCCCCCCCACCCCACCCTCTTTTTATTATATCTCTATGGTGAAGAGAGTTTCTCTCTCTCCCCCCTGGTGTTGTGGCTGACAATTCCCCAGATAAAACCACTTATTGTCTGTTTGTAGGGACGTCGCTGTACGCAAATTGGTTGCCACGTTCTGCCACAAAACACACAGTCACTACACTTTACAGGGTGTAAAACACTGCCGTGTAAGTGTGCAAACAGTAGTGTAAAACACGAGCATTTGTTGGTGGCTTCAGTTCTTAATAACAGTCCTTCCACATGACACAGCATCGCTCAGGTCAGGAGGACGTCTCAATGCATTTCACAGGATTCACTGTAAAGTGTAGTGACTGTGCGGTATGTGGCAGCCAGTTTGCACACAGTTATGTCCCAACAAACAGCCATGAAACGAGCGAGCGATTTGGTCTGGGGGATTGTGGTCGAGGTCACAGGGAGAGAGAGAGAAACTCCCTTCTCTTCCGCCCTTTAATGATCTCTAATGTCTGCCCTGAACAGTGCACAGACTGAGTGAGGTTTAACATCTCGTCTGAACCATAGAATCGTACAGTGCAGGAGGAGGGCATTCGGCCCATTGTGTCTGTGCCGGCTGTTTTGAGAAGAGTTTTTCCAAATGAATCCCACTCCCACGTTCTCTCCCAAAGCCCCGCAAACTTGTCCTCCCTAAATAATTATCTAAGGACGGTTGTCAGACAGTCTCTGACAGTGTGGCGCTCTCTCTCTCTCTCTCTCTCTCTCTCTCCCTCTCCCCCCCACCCCTCCCACTCGCCCGTTGACCACCCACCCCCGGGCTGTGCTTGGACTGTGTGATTCCAAGTGTTAGACGTGGAGCTTGAACCCGCAATCTTCTGACTCGGATGAGAGGAAGCGAGTGACACACACCCGGTGACGCAATTGTGATTAATCTTATCAAAAGGCAAATAATCAGTGTAACTCTGTACCTAGAGGAGGGAAAGCTCCCAGCGCGCGGTTAGGCGGAAGCAGAGAGCGATTGTGGAGGGACAGAGAGGATGTGTACCGGCAAATGTTCCCGTCTCATCGGGCTGTTTCTCCTTCCATTGGCCTTCATCTGCATCGCAGCAAATCTCCTTCTGATCTTCCCAAACGCTGAAAGCAAATGGACTGACCACATCACAGTCCAGGCCTGGCTCATGGGCGGAATCATCGGAGGTGGATTGTTTGTAAGTTTTTTGTGCTCGCAAAGTCACTACACTTCACTGCAAGTCATAGCAGGTTATCGTCACTGTGACCAGCCGGGTGTCTGACTCGGAAATCCGTCACCGTGACCAGCCGGGTGTCTGACATGCACGGAAACCCGTCACCGTGACCAGCCGGGTGTCTGACACACATACGGAAACCCATCACCGTGACCAGCCGGGTGTCTGACACACATAAGGAAACCCATCACCGTGACCAGCCGGGTGTCTGACACACATAAGGAAACCCATCACCGTGACCAGCCGGGTGTCTGACGTGCACGGAAAACTGCTTAAGGGTTTCCAAACGACACTGGGAGCTCCACATGTGTCTGTCACCTACATACAGAAATCTTCTCATGTCTGGAATGGAGAGTCAGGAGGTTGTGGGTTCGAGTCACACATGCCAGGGGCTCTGAGCTCATAGTCCAGGCTGATGGTCCAGGGCGGCACTGGGGGAGAGAGAGAGAGAGAGAGCGCTGGGGGGAGAGAGAGAGAGAGAGCTGCACTGTCAGAGACGCTGTTCTTTGGATGAGAGGTTAAACCTCACTCTCTCCCCGTCTGCTCCCTGCTCAGGCAGATGTTAAAGATCTCACATTGACTGTCGGGAAAAGAGAAGGGAGTTTCTCTCTCTCTCCCTGTGTGTCTCGCTCTCTCTCTCTCTCGGTGTCTTGGGGTGAAGGGTTTGGCATTGATATTAAACGACCTGTTAAGTCTCTGGAACAGGCTGTGTGGTCTGAGTGGCCTCCTGCCCTGTGAGAGTTTGCCGAGAGTGGGGGTGCCTGTGACGATGATGATGATGATGATGATGGTGTTTCTCAGGTGCTGGGGCCGGGCTGCTCGGCTGTACGGGCCGGGGGCAAGGGGTGCTGTGGAGCTGGTTGCTGTGGTAACAGGTGCCGGGTAAGTCTACGTGAGTGTGTGCGTGTCTGCCCGACTGTCTGTCTGTCTGTGTGTGTGTGTGTTTGTGCGTGTGTCTGTCTGAATGTCTGTCTGTGTGAGTGTCTGTCTGTGTGTGTGTGCGCGTGTCTGTCTGTCTGTCTATCTGTCTGTGTGAGTATCTGTCTGTCTGCGTGTGAGTGTGTGTGTCTATGTGTGTGAGTGTGTGTTCACTTTACTTTATATTCTGTGAAGCACTTTGGGAAGTACCAACAACATGATCAGGCGTTGTGATTATTATTATTATTATTCATTATTATTTTAGATGTTTCGATCTGTGATCTGCTCGGGCTTTGGGATTCTGGGCTCCGGATACTGTCTTGTTGTGTCTGCGACAGGTCTCGCTAACGGGCCCTACTGTGACGTTGGGGATGACACGTGGGAATATCCCTTCAAGTGAGTGCAACAGCAATAACAACAGCGCCCCAGAGATCACACCTTCTGTCCATGTGTCTGATCGATCGATCAATCGATCAATCGATCGATCGATCGATCGGTTTGACAAGGTGCTAAAGTTTGTGTGTGGTATAAACCGCAGCAGAGACCGGTCAGAGCTGAGGCCCAGAGAAACCTCAGTAAAGTTTTTGGTATTTGCAGCAGCTCCAGTTACCTGAAAGACCAGGAATCGTGGTCCGTTTGTGAGAACCCGAAGAACATTGTCATGTGGAACGTGGTGCTGTTCTCCATCTTGTTGGGCTGCAGTGTCCTGGAGATGGTGCTGTGCGGGTTCCAGGTCATCAACGGCTGCATTGGAGTCGTCTGCGGAGATTGCAGGAAAAATAGCAATAGAGACGTAAGTAACATGTCTCCCCATGTCCTCTCCAGCCGGCTAGCAACCTGGACCCCTGGGCTACCAACATGGCCCCCAGGCTAGCAACCCGGCCCCCCGGGGTAGCAACCCGGTCCCCAGGCTAGCAACCCGGCCCCCCAGGCTAGCAACCCGGCCCCCCGGGCTAGCAACCCGGCCCCCCGGGCTAGCAACCCGGCCCCCGGGCTAGCAACCCGGCCCCCCGGGCTAGCAACCCGGCCCCCCGGGCTAGCAACCCGGCCCCGGGCTAGCAACCCGGCCCCCCGGGCTAGCAACCCGGCCCCCCGGGCTAGCAACCCGGCCCCCGGGCTAGCAACCCGGCCCCCCGGGCTAGCAACCTGGTCCCCCAGGCTAGCAACCCAGCCCCCTGGGCTACCAACCCGGCCCTCCAGGCAAGCAACCCGGCCCCCCCCCCAGGCTTGCAACTCGGCCCCCCAGGCTAGCAACCCGTCCCCCCCAGGCTTGCAACCCGGACCCCCCAGGCTGGCAACCCGGCCCTCCAGGCAAGCAACCCGGCCCCCCCCCCAGGCTTGCAACCCAGACCCCCCAGGCTGGCAACCCGGCCCTCCAAGCAAGCAACCCGGCCCCCCAGGCTAGCAACCACCCCTCATCTCGGCCAACCTTTAACCCCCTCAGATAAAATCACTTGCCCACTTTCACAGTTGTTTGAGGGATGTCAATGGGTGCAAATTGGCTGCCACATAACACAGTCACTTTACTTTACAGTGAATCCTGCAAAACCATTTGAGACGTTCTCCCGACATGACAGATTTTGAATGAAATGTAAGGATTATTATTATTATTTATAATTTATTATTTCTTTTAGGATGAAGGTTTATAAAACTCTCAAGAAAAACACAGAAGACAGACTCCCGAATTCCAGAGTAATTATCCAGAAATCTCCATTTATCAGGTTTATATGTTTATTGTATAAAATATAGACCATTCAACCCCTTTACTCCCCTCTTCCGCACCCCTCTATTCCCCTCTCCCCCACCCCTCTATCCCCCTCTCCCCCACCCCTCTATCCCCCTTTTGCCTGGGTTAAGTTTCCTCTTAAAAATGTTGATATTTTTTGCTTTAGTTCCACTTTCACCCCCTCGATGCCTCGCTTTGTGAGGAAGTTCCTCCTAAACTCTGTGTCAGGTCTGTTACTGACTGTGTGTGATCTGGGATGTCAGTCAGGCTCTTGTCTGGGGTCAAGAGATTGTGGGTTCGAGCCCCAGGTCAGGGTCACAGTCCAGGTGGACGCTCCCCACCTTGCCCCCAGGTCCTGATCCCCCAGCTCTCTCGTTAATTACCTCCCTCTCACCCCCCACCTCACCCCCCCCACCCCCCTTCTCTCCGACCCCGGCAACCCCCCTCTCACCCATCACCCCCCAATGAAGGGTTTACAAGACGGAATGACTTTAATTGAATTAGGAAATAAATGTAATGTAAAATAAAAGAGTCCGAGAAGCCTTCATCGTCTACACACACACACCAACACGCACACCAACACACGTACACCAACACAACACACACCAACACATGTACACCAACACACACACACCAACACATGTACACCAACACACACACACCAACACACGTACACCAACATACACACACCAACACACACACACCAACACACACACACCAACACACACACACCAACACACGCACACCAACACACGCACACCAACACACACACACCAACACACACACACCAACACACACACACCAACACACACACACCAACACACGTACACCAACACACACACACCAACACACACACACCAACACACGTACACCAACACACACGTACACCAACAGAACACACACCAACACACGTACACCAACACACACGTACACCAACACAACACCAACACACATACACATAAACACACACCAACAAACACTATGGCCACATTTGGTGTGTGTAACCAGAGGGCGGAGCCCGTAACTAGAGGGCGGAGCCTGTAATCAGAGGGCGGAGCCTGTAACTAGGGGCGGAGCCCGTAATCAGAGGGCGGAGCCTGTAATCAGAGGGCGGAGCCTGTAACCAGAGGGCGGAGCCTGTAACCAGAGGGCGGAGCCTGTAACTAGGGGCGGAGCTTTTGTCCTGTGCGCAAACAACACAAAATGGCGGCGCCCACTTTCCCCCCCGAGAGAGAGTGAGAGAGAGAGAGAGAGGGGAGCGAGAGTTAGTCCCCTGTGAGAGTCAGTGAGGGGCGGTGAGGGGAGGGGTGAGGGAGTGTCCGCTGGGGGGAGGGGTGAGGGAGTGTCCGCTGGTGAGGGAGTGTCCGCTGGGGGGAGGGAGTGTCCGCTGGGGGGAGGGGTGAGGGAGTGTCCGCTGGGGGAGGGGAGGGGTGAGGGAGTGTCCGCTCGGGGGAGGGGAGGGGTGAGGGAGTGTCCGCTCGGGGGAGGGGAGGGGTGAGGGAGTGTCCGCTGGGGGGAGGGGTGAGGGAGTGTCCGCTGGGGCGGGGGAGGGGTGAGGGAGTGTCCGCTGGGGGGAGGGGAGGGGTAAGGGAGTGTCCGCTCGGGGGAGGGGAGGGGTGAGGGAGTGTCCGCTGGGGGGAGGGGAGGGGTGAGGGAGTGTCCGCTCGGGGGAGGGGAGGGGTGAGGGAGTGTCCGCTGGGGGGAGGGGAGGGGTGAGGGAGTGTCCGCTCGGGGGAGGGGAGGGCGTCAGTCAGTTCCCTTTGGGTTGGGAGGTGGTGCGAGGCTGAGCCGCTGCTGGGGCTGGAGGTCGAGATGCCGCTGGTGAACAGTTTGGTGCCGTCGCGTTTCCTCACGATTCTCGCTCACCTCGTCATCGTCCTCACCATCCTCTTCTCCAGGGTGGGTACTGTGACGCGGGGTCAGAGGACACTGTTTCTGACACTCGCTGGTACGAGGCGGGCGATCGTGTGACACGCGCTGGTGACTTAGATGCTGGTTTGCTTCCCTGTGCGAAGGGCTCGATATAAATGCAAGTTGTTGTGGTTGTTTCTCGCCTGTTACAGGACACCAATGTGATTGCCAGTCTCCCCCCAGACTACGAGGGAAGCCAGTTTTACAGCCAAGATGCTGAGTAAGTTGTTGGGAGACAATGGGGGCAACAAGGTGGGACTGTTAATAGACGTCCCATGGTCTGTGGACCCCCCCCTTCTGCAGCCCTCACTGAGGTCTGAGACGCCCAACTGGTGCCCGTGACTGTTAGGCCGGGTGCTGTGATTGGGAGATGTTATACAGTAATAATAATAATATTCCTGGTATTTGATGGAGCTCCTTATCGATTCATCGAGACGTCTCAAAGCGCTTTACAGGATACACTGTAAAGTTAGTGACTGTGTATTCTGTGGGCAAAACGAGGCAGCCAATTGCTCCCAGGGGTGAGTGTCCCACAAACAGCCTTTGGAGTGAACGACCAATTTTATTTTGGAGGCTTGTTGACCAGGACACCGGGAGAGAGAAATTCCCTTCTGTTTTCGAATATCGCCGTGGGAGATCTTTCACACCCACCAGAACAGGGCGACAGGAACTCAGTTTAACTTCTCATCCGAATGACGGCGTCTCTGACAATGCAACACATGCCCAGGACTGCCCTTGAGCTTCAGCTTAGACTGTGATTCGAAGTCCCGATGTGGGGCTTGAACCCACAACCTTCTGATTCAGAGGCCAGTGGCTGTTACAGTGTCCAGGAACTGGGACTGGTCAGGCACCAGTAAGAAGGGCATGGGGGTTGTAGGCTGGAGGTGGGGGGCTGTGGGGTGGGGGGTGGGTTTGTGTATGATTGTATGGGGGCAGGGCAGGTGTGTGTGGGAGGATGAGTGTGTGAGTGTTGGGGGTTGAGTGTGTGGGGTGCTTTGCGGGCGTGTGTGTGTGTGGGTTTGTTGGGGTGGGGGTGTGGGGGGGTTGTTGGGGTGTATATGTTTGTGTGGGAAGGGTTGTTGGGGTGTGAGGGGGAGTTGTTGGGGTGTGGTGTGAGTGGGGGTTGTTGGGGAGGGGGTGTGGGGGTGTGTATGGGGGTTTGTTTGGAGGATCTGACTGTTTTTCTGTCTCGGTCTCTGCAGGTTCATCGTGGCGATCACACTGACACTGGTGGCATTTCTGATCGAGTTGAGTGGCTTCTTCTCAGGAGTCTCCATGTTCAACAACACACAGAGTCTCCTGTGTATCCTTCACACAGCCTCAGCACCTCACACACACTCACAGACACACACACACCTCAGACACACACGCCCTCTCACACACATACTCTCTCACACGCACTCACACGCTCTCAGATGCGCACACAGCTCCTGGCATCTCTCACACATGCACTCTCACACGCGCACTCTCACACACACGCACTCTCACACACACTCACACAGACACACACACACACACTAACACACACACTCACACAGACACATTAATAATAATAATCCTTGCATTTGATATAGCGCTTTTCACGTCGGGAGGACGTCCCAAAGCGCTTCACAGAACACACTGTAAAGTGAATTGACTGTATATTTGTGGGCGAACGCGGCAACCAATTGCGCACAGCAATGTCCCACAAACAGTCGTAGAATTAAAATGACCAATTTATTATTGTTTTTGGTTTTGGAGGGATTATTATTAGGCTCTGTGTGGAGTAAGGAAACTTGCCCAAGGTTTCGCCCTGCCTCACACATTCTCACACACACATACACTCTCACACAGACACATATACGCACACACATACAAATAAATTTAGAGAGACAGAAGAAAACACACGCATTGATATCTGTGTGAAACAAAAACAGAAGTCGCTGGGAACGCTCAGCAGGTCAGGCAGTATCTATGGAGAAAGGAAATGTTTCGGGTACATGATCTTTGATCCATATCTTTGCTGTCCTAATAGCCATATTAGGACTTTAAATTAGTGCGGATAATGGGACCTCGATCCATTTCCCTGGAGATGACCTCAATGACATGCAGCTGATAATGGAAACGTATTAATAATGGGGGTGATAATTAGTTCAAAAAAATAATAGTAATAATAAATTGGTCACTTCAATCCGTGACTGTTCATGGTACTCTGCTGTGTGCATTTGGCTACTGTGAGAAGGTGCTGCTGTATCTTATTATTATTATTACATCGCCCTCTGTTGGATGTGAGAAGTATTACGTCCACACTTTTGGCGCTGCCACTGAGTTGGAATCACTACAAGTGATATGTGACAATCTGCTGTAAAGTGAGGGGGGAAGACAAGCTTTGCAGTTGATAATAGTGTAGTTTAAGAAGACGACTCAGAGGAGACCTGTACAGATTTACAAAACAACTCGCATTTACACAGCAATGTCCTCACGAAGAGCAACATCTCATCAATGTCTCAGAGCTTGACAGTGTGGGAGCTCGACGCCCAGATCAATGCTTTAAGACGTGTCGTGACAATGGAACAAGAGGCCACAGATCTAGAGGTGTGAAGGGCAATTTTAGAACTGGACAGACACCAGGAAGTTTTATATTGGCCCTGCCAATGAGCCAGGCTGGGCTGTTCTGTCATCAGCAGTGCCCAAGAGTATTGCGAACCTACCTGGCTTAGGAACTGGAGAGAGAGAGAGAGACAGAGGGCGAGGGGGAGAGAGAGACTGCCACAGGGGCTGGGCTCATTCTGTAATTGAGCTCAGCCCCAGAGACCCTGCTCTTCCCCCACCTCCAATCCTCCAGGAGGCTTGTGGGTGAATTCAACACAAGCCAAGTGGAGGTTGGAGTCCTTGCTCCGTGAATGGCTGAGCTCCCTGCAGAGATCAGTGTGAGCCAGAGATCAGAGTGAACAGCAGAGTGTGAGCATAGTGTAAGCGACAGATATCAGTGTGAAGTGTAGAGATTGGTGTGAGGTGGAGCAGAAGGCGCTGGGAGGGATGAGCTGCTGCTATTGATGTTGTTCCCCTGACCCTGACCATCAGCGGTTGGAGCTCACAGCAGCGCTTCGATCGCTCTCCTCTTCTTTCTCTTCGACCAGTGGCCATGTGATCTCTACTGGTGGATATTTGTTTTCTGCAGGTACAGCAGCCACCCCTTTGAAACATCTCGACGACATGATAATGCTCTTATCTCAAATACAAAGATTATTATAATGAGGGGTGCAGGAGGGGAATGGAGGGGTGCAGGAGAGGGGAATGGAGGGGTGCAGGAGAGGGGAATGGAGGGGTGCAGGAGAGGGAAATAGAGGGGTGCAGGAGAGGGGAATGGAGGGGTGCAGGAGAGGGGAATGGAGGGGTTCAGGAGAGGGGAATAGAGGGGTGCAGGAGAGGGGAATGGAGGGGTTCAGGAGAGGTGAATAGAGGGGTGCGAGAGGGGTATAGAGGGGTGCGGGAGAGGGGAATAGACGGGTGCGGGAGAGGGGAATAGAGGGGTGCGGGAGAGAGGAATAGAGGGGTGCGGGAGAGGGGAATAGAGGGGTATAGGAGAGTGCCCCAGAAGCCTGTGTGAAGTGGGAGGGAGGGTGTGGATTCAGGGCCAATGGCTGATTTTCCTGAGACTAGGCTCGCAGCTGTGGCCGCTCACTGCAGTGCCTGTATCAGCCTCTCCCTTTTCCTGTCCCAGCAGTGGGAATGCTGGGCATTTTGGTACATCTTTGGCTTCTGCAGGTACAGCTGAGACTCCTCATAGCTCCTGTCGGGTTGGGGGGGTGGGGGGGATTTGGTCAACCTGTGTGTGTGTGTGTTTGTCAACACGGAGGGTTGTGTGACGGAGTCAGTGTTGTTGCTGGAGTCGGTGCCAGTAACTTTTGGTGTGTGAGTGCCTGACTGGTCACTCCCTCCACTCAACTGGCTCGGACCTGTTTTGCACCCCCGCCCGGCCCATTCCGTCCCACCATTGGCGATCAACCCTTCAGTATCCCTGCCCCCACCCTCGGGATTTCCACCTCACAGTCCCTTGGCCTGGCTGCCTCCCTCCCTCGCTTCCATCATGGCCCGTATCAAGACCCTCCTGTTTGGTCATCTTTTCACCATCACCTTCCCTGCCCTCCCACCCCTCCTGATCCTACCCCTTCTGATCCCACCCCCAGCTCAGGGCCAAACCCTTCATTGTCAGCTCCTTGGGACATTCTCCCTGTCTGAGAGGCACTGCATAAATTTTGTTTGTTGTTGTTGTGTGGGGGAGTGACTGGTGGTGACTGGGTTCAGGCTCAAGCTGTTGTGACTCTGGCCTCTGTTTGACTCTCAGCGCTTTACCAGCCCTCGTCGAGCTCGTCCTGATCCTGACCATTCTTAGATTGGGGAAGAAGCCACTGTAGGCGCCTCAGCCATTGGGGAGCAAGAGAGACGGGGAGTGAGAGAGACGGGGAGCGAGAGAGCATGAACATCTCATCCGAAGGATAGCGTCTCTGACATTGCAGCGTGCGCTGAGCTCGGAGTCCCTGATGTGTGTGGGGGAGCGTGCGGGGGCTTGAACCCACAACCTCTGGACGCTGAGCCAAGCCCACCTGAAAGGCACCGAGTAAATGCCGGTGTGAGAATCGCCATCGGTGTCGTTGTGAATAATTAAATGAATTTCTTCGCAATGTATCGTTTGGTTGTTGTGTTTCGTTGTGTGTTTTTATCAGTAAAACACGAAGCAGAATCTCGCTCCTGTGTTGGTCGCGACTGGTGATGGGGAGAGAGAGAGACGTTAACTCGCGGGTGGGGGTCCGTGGGGGGAGGAATATAAACAGGACCACCCTCAATGTCAGGGCTCTGGCTCTCACAGGGTTAACAGCTGCTGAGGTGACGTCAGTGACAGTGATTGACAGGTGGCGGGAACACACCAACACAGCGCAGAGAAGGGAGAGTTTTAATAGTTTTGGCAAAACCTGTTATTTTTCACTGACTTTAATAGCCATGACAGTGTGGACATTAATCTCCTTTCCTTTCAGCTCCACGTTTGGCAACTCTAGAAGCCATTTCGATGTCAAATGCAAGGATTATTTTACAACCATGCGTCCTGCTCCCCCCACCCCTCGCACTCGCAATAGATTGGCCCGCGAGGAGCGCCGGTCTCCCTCTGACGTTACGCGATATGTAAATGACAGACGCGACGCATCGATTTGTATTAAACATTAAGGCTTTATTTCCACAAATATGGATGAGGCTCGTTTTCCACCTGAGGAGGGCGGGGGGTGCGGGTGGGGAAGGGGATCTGCGCGACCCCTGGCGGCCGGTAATGCGGGTACTCACGATGACCGTGAGGAGTGCTGCCGTTGCTCAGGCTGGAGGCGCGGCCGTCTGGTGCTATCGTCAGTGAGGTATTTCCTTACCTGTTCCTCCCTTCGGGGAAGGGCAGAACGTGATGAATGAGCTGAGGATGAGCCTGTGATTAACTGCTCAGCCCCAGTGGGTCACAACAGCCCGTTGGTGGCCATTCTGATTATCACTGACGATCCCCACCCGAAGCCAAGCGGTCACTGCTTGTGTTTTGTGGGTCAGCGAACAGAGTTGAAGAAATATTTCTTCACTCAGAGGGCAGTAAATTTATGGAATTCACTACCCCACAAAGCTGCAGATGTCAGTCCCTGAACATCTTCAAGGCTGAGACTGAGAGATTCTTAAAAAACAGAGGGATTGGGGGATAGGGGGAGAGAGCGGGTAATTAGACTCAGGTCTGAAGATCAGCCGCGATCTTATCAAATAGCGGGGCACTGGCTCGAGGGGCTGAATGGCCGACTCCTGCTCCTAATTCTTATGTTCTTAACCCCCACATACATACAGCCCCCACCACAGACACTCACAACCCCTCCCCACAGGCGCCCTCCCCCAACACACACAGCTCCCCTCCCACCCCACACACCACCCACCCCCACGCACAACCCCCCCACCACACCCAGCCCCACAAATACACACACACACACAGCTCCCCTCCCACACACAGCACCTCCCCCACACATAGCACCCCACCCCAACACACACGCACAGCCCCTCCCCCATACCGTGCCCCCCCGCGCACACACATAGCTCCCCCTCAGCGCATAGACCCACCACCCCAAACACAAATACAAACAGCTCCCCTCCCACCCCGTACACAGCACTGCCCCCCCCATACACAGCACCCGGGGTTGCTGGGGTTGGCTCGAGGTTGCTGGCGGCCGGTTCGGTGTTGCAATCTTTCTCCTCTTTATTGTACTTTGTTTCTCTCTATTACAATCTTTCTCCCCTCTATCACACTTGTTCTCTCCATTACAACCCTTTCCCTCTCTATTACTCATTCTATCAGAATCTTTCTCCTCTCTATTACAACCTTTTCCCTCTCTGCCACACTTGGTCTCCATTGCAATCTTTCACAATTTCTCTCTCTCTATTCCAGTCTTTCTCCTCTCTATTACACTTTCTCTCTATCACACTTTCTCTCTACTACAATCTCTCCTCTATCACTCTTTGTCTCTATCAGGATATTTCTCCTCTATCATTTTCTCTATTGCAATCTTTCTATCATACTTTCTCTCTATTCAAATCTTTCTAACACTTTCTCTATTGCAATCTTTCTCCTCTCTAGCACACTTTCTATCAGAATATTTCTCCTCTCAATCACAATCTTTCGCCTCTCTGTCACAGTTTCTCTCCCTTTCTCTATCACAAGCTTTCTCCTCTCTATCACACCTTCTCTCTGTTGCAATCTTTCTCCTCTCTCACACCTATTAGTGTTTGTGATCTGATTTGGTGGTGTGTTTGATGGTGTCTCTGAAGCATTCAATAGGAAATTCTAGGAAAGTGTGAATGCTCTAAAGTAATGAATATAAACCCTGTGAATTCTCTGAACCAGTCAATAGCCAACAGCCCATGTGATGATACTGACTGTTTCCAACTGTGAAGGGAGGACATTCCCTTCAACAGGACCTTGTGAGGAATGTGATTGGCTCATTGGCCACATGTCAAACCTGAACCTTTGGGTATTTAACCCAGAGGCTGAGCTCAGTCAAACCATTGGAGGAAGGAGTCATCTCATCAGCTTAGAGAGAGCAGATGAGTTGCTGGAGGCTTGTGGTTCAGAGCAGTGAAATGGTCAGTTTGTGTGTGGTGGAGCTTGGCTCAGGCCGGTCTCTCTATGGACTATATCTGGTAAGTCTGCATTTGTGAGAACCTTCTGGTGGGCTCTAAATTGTCAGTAATGTTTGTGAAGGGAAGTTGTCTAAACCTTGGGTGTTGTCAGTCTTGTGAGCTTCAGCAACATTATCACTGTCCACCTGCTCTCCATGTCAATTGTGAGGAACTGTTGGCCAGTTTGGCTTCTCCTTTTATTGTGTAATTTGTCTCATAAACAATTGCTGTTTTGTTTCCACCTGGAGTCTGTAGACAACTCCCACCAGAGTCTTCCCTCCTTTGCTGTTCTTTAATTCTACTCATAGTGTTTCTGTGGCCTGATCACCTTTACTAAAATCCTTTCTGTCTACTGTTGTACTTGAATGTTATCCATATTGCTCCCCTCCTTTCCCAATTTCCCTATCGTTTCTGAAGATCTTACAGCCTGGAATTTTAGCTCCCAGTAATGCCCAACTTGTAGCCAGGTCTCTGTAATGGCTACTACATCAGACGCTTTAAGCTAAATTTGTATTCCTAACTTATTTTTATACTATGTATATTTGTCAGACACTTATTAGGGTAACTGTCCTCACTTGCCCATATGCCCAATAGTGTTTTTCTTGCTTTTTTGTGTTTATTTTCTTAAACTGTTTCTCTTTCTGGAGCAACTCAGGTAATTATCACTTTTGGTTTTCTAACCTTTGCTCTTCTCTCAGTATTTAGTTCTGTTGTTTCTGATTCAGTCAGAGGTTATCCTGGAGCCAGTGCAGGTTTGTGTTGCTTTTGAACGCTGGTCTAATGCATGTTCATACCAGATGATCACTGGGTATTCATACATCAATGAACTTTGTTGCCATCCACTTCGGTTTAATGTGAACATCTCTTGACCTGTCTGACTTTTCTTTGTATTGTGTAACTCGTCTCAGAGATAGTGATGACAGAATTACTGTATGGAATTATTTTGCAATGTTAGTCTTTAAAACATCATTAAGATTTTGGTCAAAGACGTCCAACTAAGAATTGTTTGGAGATGAGATGCAGCTGAAAATTGTGGGAGTTGTAAGTGATTAATGGGCTGAGCTCAGTTGTTCAGTAGAGTCCTGTAGCTCAATGGTTAGAGCACTCGCCTTGCGAGCGAGACACCTGGGTTCAATTTCAGGGAGGGTGAAACCTTGGGCAAGTTTCCTTACTCCACACAGAGCCTAATAATAATCCCTCCAAAAACGTTGGACGTTGCTGTGCACAATTGGCTGTCGCGTTTGCCCACAAAAATACAGTCAATTCACTTTGCAGTGTGTTCTGTGAAGCACTTTGGGACGTCCTCCCGACGTGAAAAGCGCTATATCAAATGCAAGGATTATTATTATCACACTTTCTCTCTATTGAAATCTTTCTCCTCTCTATCATTCTCTCTATTGCAATCTTTCTCCTCCCTATCACAATCTTTCGTCTCTTTCACGCTTTCCCTCTATATTCCAAACTTTCTCTTCTCTATCACACTTTTTCTCTTTTAATCTCTCACCTTTCTATCACTCTTTCAATCAGAATCTTTCTCCTTCGCTCTATTGCACCTTCTCTTTATCACACTTTCTCTCTATTGCAATCTTTCGCCTCTCTAACACACTTTCTCTATCGCTCTCCTTCTGTCACCCAATTTTCCTCCTCTCCCACATTTCTTTATCGCAATTTTTCTGCTTCTATTACACTTTCTCTTTATCAGTTTCTCTCTCTATTACAATCTTTGCCCTTTCTATCAGAATCTTTCTCCTCTCTATTACAACCTTTTTCGTCTGTCACTTTCTCTCTATCAGAATCTTCCTCCTCTTTATCACACTTTTTCTGTTACAATCTTTCTTTCTCTCTATCGTAATCTTTCCCCTCTCTATCTCTTGTGCAATCTCTCCTTCTCTCTATCACACTTTCACTCTATTGCAATCTTTCTCCTTCTCTCCATCATACTTTGTCTCTCTCTATTACAACCTTTTCCATCTATCGCTCTTTCTGTTTATCACAATATTTCTCCTTCTCGCAATCGCAATGTTTCTCCTTCTTTCTAACACACTTTCTCTCCATCACACTTTCTCTTTCTATTACAACCTTTTCCTTTCTATCAGAATCTTTCTCCTCTATTACACTTTGTCTCTATTGCAATCTTTCTCCTCTCTATCAGTTTTCCTCTGTTGCAATCTTTCTGCTCTCTATCATACTTAGTCTCTCTCTATTCCAATCTTTAACACTTTCTCTCTATCAGAATCATTCTCTTTATCACACTTTCTCTCTATCACAATCTTTACTCTTTCTATCAGAATCTTTCTCCTCTCTATTACAACCTTTTCCGTATCTGTCACTTTCTCTATCAGAATCTTTCTCCTCTCTATTACAACCTTTTCCGTATCTGTCACTTTCTCTATCAGAATCTTTCTCCTCTCTATCACACTTTCACTGACTAATGCAATCTTTCTCCTTCTCTCCATCATACTTTGTCTCTCTTTATTACAAACATTGCCCTCTCTCACTGCTATCAGAATCTTTCACCTTCTCTATCGCACTTTCTGTGTATCGCAATGTTTCTCCTTCTTTCTAACACTTTCTCTCCATCACGCTTTCTCTCTCTATTACAACCTTTTCCTTTCTATCAATCTTTCTCCTCTCTATTACACTTTGTCGCTATTGCAATCTTTCTCTTCTGTTACACTTTCTCTCTATTGCAATCTTTCTCCTTTCTATCATACTTTGTCTCTCTCTATTCCAATCTTTCTAACACACTTTCTCGCTCTATCAGAATCATTCTCTTTGTCTCTATTACAATCTTTACCCTCTTTCTATCAGAATTTTTCTCCTCTATCACACTTTCTCTCTGTCGCAATCTTCTCTCTTGTGCAATCTTTCTCCCTCTAATGCAACCTTCTCTCCATCATACGTTGTCTCTCTATTACAAACGTTGCCCTCTCTCTTACTCCTATCAGAATCGTTCGCCTTCTCTCTATTACAACCTTTTCCGCCTCTGTCACACTTTCTGTGTGTCACAATATTTCTCCTTCTCGCCATCGCAATGTTTCTCCTTCTTTCTAACACACTTGCTCTCTCTAGTGCAATCTTTTTCCTCTTTATCACACATCCTCTCTATCGCAGTCTTTCTCCTTCTGCCACACTTTTTCTGTATTGCAATCTTTCTCCTTCTCTATCACAAGTCCTCTCTCTCTATTCCAATCTTTCTAACACACTTTCTCTCTATGACATTCTTCTCTATCACACTTTCTCTCTATTTTAATCTCTCTATCATTCTTTCTCCTCTCTATTAAACCTTTTCCGTCTCTGTCACAAACGTTTCCCTCTCTTTCACTATCAGAATGTC